AGAATTATCAATGATAGAGCCATTTTCCCTAATCTTGAATGGTTCTGCATTTTTTTTTTTGGTGTTTTAAATAGATATAAATGTATAAAGTAGTTAAAAGAAAAAGAACCCAATAGGTACGTGTTCCCAAATAACTCCCTCCTAGCCTACAACCATTGTCTTGAGTTCTGCTTCAGAGATTCATTCCTTTGGGTTTATCACAAAGAATTCTCAGCACATTAATATAACTGCATCTTCGGGCTTCCTTCTAGTCTCACAGCTTGTTGGGAGTGCAGGTTGAAGGGTTTGGGCACTTGGGGCTTGCTGCATTCAGGCCCTTTGGAGAAACATGAAGGCCCTGGCTGCCTGGGAGACAGTGGTGTCAAAGGATAAACCAGGAAAGGGAAGAAAGACTTGGAACAGAGAAAGCATAAGATGTGCCCTAAACTTTTATTTACCTCATCATTTTGTTTTCCCATGGTTGCTCACTTTGGTAATTGTTCGAGTTGAGAGAGGAGAGAGAGAAGCACAGTGTGAATTTCAAAATGATGTTATTAAATATGTTTGGAAAAGAAGAGCACAATAACCAGCTAGAAGGAGACTTTGGGACAGTCTCAGGGTAATAAAGGGGCTATGTAATTATAGCAACAAGAGTGATAAGTGAAAGTATTGCCAGATTCCTTTAAGCCTTCCATAAGGATCAAAACACTTCATATGTATGTGTAACACATACACACACTACAGTGAAGAAAAATATGAGGCAAACAAAGTCCCTGCCATCTCACAGATAGGCCATCATATGTGCAGAAATGCAGAGATTTGGTCTAAGGACAAACAAGCCCCAGGAGTAGAGTAAGAATAAGGTCTCAAACCATCTCACTAAGAACTCAACGTGCCTTGCAATGGCTATCTTCACTCTAAGGTTTTATCCCTGTATTCAAAATATACCACAATATCCATTCTCTAGTAAATAGTTCTCATGTTTAAGACAGCCGGATAGTGATAAATCAGCTCTGAAAGTCAACTGCTATAAATGCCATGTGCTATCAGATCACAGACCAAAGCCAAATTTTCAAAACATTTCCTGCTGGAATACCCACAACATTTTAACAAATGTCTTTTGGAAAGTTTTGAAGCCCAATAAGCCCCCATCATCATATAAAATAAAACTGAAAAGAAAGTAAAATATGGCTGTAAGAGAAAGGCTGGGGAAAATCTTGAGATCTTTGGAGAAATGCTTGTTTACAGCCACAAAAGCGAAGAAGTGAACTTTTCTTACACGTACACCACAAGAAAGATTAGAGTTTGGAAAATATTCTTTCATTATTCACCAAAGAAATTTCTTTGACTGCTTTTGAGTATAATGTCTGTTATTTCTTGTTCTGAACAAGTCATAAATATAACTCTAGCTTTTGTTGAAGCAGTTTCATGAGAAGCTAGGGAAAGGATTTGAGAGTATTAGTGATGGGGCCAGCAGGGGCAGAAATGGGGCAAAAGCATCAAAGAAGCATCTTTTGTCATGGTCAAATGGGCATGACTGGTAGTGGCCAATTCTAAAATTGTACAACTTGAAGTCTGAAGCCTCTCAAAATCAGTGGCAGGAGGGCCGGAATGGGAGTCTAGAAAAAGAAGGAGAATTTTATTTTCATTTTTATCCAAATTTTATTATGAAAAATTTTTAAGTACAGAAAAATCAAAAGAATTATACAATGAACATGCACATACTCATGAGGGAGATATTTTTAAATTGACAATTTTTTTCCACTGAGGCTGATTTTCACCCTCATCAAAGAAATGCTTTTGAATGAATGAATGAATGAGAGGTCTAACATTCTTCCCACATACTTATTCTGGGGATGCCAAGATGATATGCTGCTACTCCTGCATGGAGTGATAATTCTAAAAGCAGGGGTCCCTATGGGTCTGCTTCTACCATCTGTTGTTTTAGATGCTTCTTGCTCATGCCATCTTGTCTACTCTTTGTTTTGTTATCTTTGTGCTGGCTGTTATACTGGAAACTATATGTGGAAATAATTTGATATTATTTCTTTAGAGAGGATTTTCGTTTGCTTATGCCAGGCACATGGGGGTGCTAGCAGTACAACAAATATTTATAGGGCATTACTAAGGCAGAAAAAAATACAATTATGAACAAGAAATGGTCCCTTCTTTACAAGTCTTGCTCTGAATGAGCAATAGAATTCATTTAAATGGAGCCTTTAAAGAAGAATTTAGTTCATACAAGTTTGATCAGCATGCAGCTTTTCCTAACCTTATCCATTTGCACCCATTAAAGAGTGGCATGCTGGACCATGCAGAAATGCCCTGAGGTAGCAGTTCTTTTGCAGTTTTATTTCATAGATAACTTAGAAAAAATATTCTATGAACTTAACTATTATATTCACCATATAAAAATCTAATCAGAAATAATTAGAACGGTTTTACTTCCTTTGACCAAACACTCAGGAAAGATGATGCTTTAAAACACTACTGTAAGACAGTTACTTATTCACGGCAGAAATAAAATCATAGCCCATTTGTATATTATAAACTAAAATACTCCGTCGACAGACTATTTACAGGGACTTAAGTGCTTATTTCTAGGTGGTAGAACCAAAATATACAATCCTTCCACACACAAATTCAAGAGTACCCTCACAAGCTAGAGGTTGGAACTACTATCAGAGTAGTGGAGAGGCTGATTAGTTGAGAAGAATCTTTCATGGAGCATAGCCCATGGAAACCTCGACCTAATGATGATGTCTCAAACTGAGGCTGAGCTCTT